AGCCTTGGGCGTGTGGCCGAGGGCGAAGGAGCCCCTGGGCGTGCGGACTCACGGGCCGAGGGGACGGGGACCCAGAGGACCCAGGAGCGGGGAGGGTCCGCACACAGCTGCGTAAGGGGCCCTGGGCTGGGCTGGCAGATGAACGGGAGGGCTCTGGACGCTTCCGCTGGAGGCCGCGCAGGAAGAGGCTGGGCCTCCGCGTCCCCGTCCGCAAGCAGGGTGGCGGGACCTGCCTCCAGCTTAACTGTGGACTTCAGCAGCCTGAGGGGCAGGGAGTGCTGTTTACAAGCGGATGCTGCAGCCCTGTCTGGGGCCTTGCTGGGCGCAAGGGCTCTGCTTGGCTGCACTTGGGAAAGGAGGTCGGGTCGGGCGGTGACTTTGCCTCCTAGCTCCGCAGTGAGTGGGGACCGTGAGGTCCTCCCAGTCCCCCAGGGGCTTGGCTGCCCTGCGCTGGAGTGGCATTCGTTCCCATGCTAACAGTTTTTTGAGAACTCATTTTGTGCCAGGCGCTGTTCTAGGGCATGGAGTCATGAGCACGCTTGGTGCAGACGGGTAGAAGACATGTCAACACAGAGCGAGGGCCCTGCAGACCGAAGCCAGGCGCTGTAAATAAAACACAGGCAGGCTAACCGCCAGAGACGCTCGAGGAGGGCTTCTCTGAGGAGGTGACAAGAGAGCTGAGCCCAAGCTAGGGAGAGGGCAAGCACAAAGGTCCTGAGGTGGAGATCAGCTGAGCCTGTTTGAAGAAAAAGATGAAAGCCAGTGGCTGGGGAGTGGAAGAGAACCAGGCAGAGCAGTTGGCAGGAGTCAGATCAGATGGGGCCTTGGAGGCAGAAGGAAGAGGCCCGGGCCTGTCCTTCCTCCTGGGGACCCCTGCCTGGGCTGTTGGCAGAAGTAGCATCTCTAGGACAGTGTCCACCTTTCTGCTGCCCCCTGGCTGAAGGCAGTGGGGGAGGGGCAAAGTCACATGGCCTGTGTCCTATGGAGCCTTCCCATCCTGTGTTGGCAGGAGGATTTGAAGGCTCAACAGCCTGCTGTGGGTGGGAAGCACAGAGAGGGCCTTTAGAGACTCTCTCCTCTGCTTAGGGTTCTCCTCAGGGTTTCCCATCCAGTAGCTCTAGGGTGAGGTCTGGTCAGTTCCATTGCACAAATGAAAGATGGGGAAGCTGAGGCCCAGAGCAGGGAAGGCCCCTGTCCAGGGGCTCACAGCAGGTCTGTCCTGCACTGCGTGACCATGACTGGAGCCAGCACCCTATAGACAGGTGGGAGGGAGGGAGGATGGGAGTCAGATGCCTGAGCAGTGGATGGGATTTTTTTTTTTTTTTTGAGTTAGCTTCTCACTCTCTTGCCCAGGCTGGAGTGCAGTGGCACAATCATAGCTCACCACAGCCTCCGACTCCTGGGCACAAGCAGTCCTTCTGTGTTAGCTTCCCAAGTAACTGGGACTACAGGTACATGCCACCACATCCAGCTTTTTTATTTTTATTTTTCACTTTAAAAAAAAATTTTGAGTAGGAGTCTCACTCTGTCATCTGGGCTGGAGTGCAGTAGCACGCTCATGCCACCACAGCCTCAACCTGCTGAGCTCAGGCGATCCTTCCGTCTCAGCCTTCCAAGTAGCTGGAAACACAGCCATGTACCTGGCTGATTTTTTGATTTATTGTAGAAATGAGGTTTCACCATGTTGCGCAGGCTGGTCTTGAACCCCTGAGCCCAGGCAATCCTCTCGCCTCGGCCTCCCAAAGTGCTGGGATTACAGGCGTGAGCCACTGTGCCCGGCCTTTTTTTTCCTCCACTCTTTGTAGAGATGAGGTCTTGCTGTGTTGCCTAGGCTAGTCTTGAACTCCTGGGCTCAAGTGAACTTCCAGGCTCCACCACCCAAAGTGCTGGGATTACAGGTGTGAGCCAAATGGGTGGAATATTAATGAGGGTGGGAGACTCCTTCCCAGGTGGAAGAAATATCTGTCCTAATATCTCTGGTCTTGAGAGGCCTAGAGTTTTGGCCAAGGACGCTCTGCATCCCATGAACATCCTCATCTGAGCTGTGAGCACAGTGGCTAACACTTGTAATCCCAGGATGAGGCCAGGGTGAGATGGTTGCTTGAACCCAGGAGTTAGACACCAGCCTGGGCAACATAGCAAGACCTCATCTCTATTAAAAAAAAAAAAAAAGATTAAAAAAAATTAGCTAAGTGTGGTGGTGAGTGCCTGTAGTTCTAGCTACTTGGGAGTCTGAGGTAGAAGGACTGCCTGAGCCTGGGATGTCAAGGCTGCAGTGAACCATGATTGTGCCACTGCACTCCAGCCTGGACAGCAGAGTGAGATCCCGACTCAAAAAAAAAAGAAAGAAAAAGAAAAAAAAATTATCCTCTGAGAATCATTTACCTGTTACTGTAGTCTGCACTCTACCCCTTCCTCACTGCTCTCAGCCAGCCTTCCTGCCTTCCTCTTTTTTCTGAGCTTCCAACCCTTCTCACTTTTCTATCAGTGCTTGAGCTTCTCTCCCCAAGACCAGGAGCTCATCCAAGGGAAAAGCAATGAGCATCACTAGGTGAAGGGGAGAATGTGAATGTCCTGGACCATTTGTCTAATGGAATTAAAAGCAGAGAAGGATCTCATCTCTACAATAAATCAAAAAATTAGCTGGGCATGGTAGCTCATGCCTGTAATTCCGGCTATTTGGAAGGCTGAGGTGGAAGGATCGCTGGAGCCCAGCGGGTCGAGGCTGCGGTGGCCAGGAGCGGACACTGCACTCCAGTCTGGGCGACAGAGTGAGACTCCAACTCAAAAAAAAAAAGCAGAGAAGGCCAGGGACTTATTCCTTCTGCCTTTCGTTTCCTCCTCTGTACAATGGGGGCAATACTCGTTGTATCTTAGAGGCTGGTGCCATCATTAAGTGTGTTACCTTGTGTAAAGCACTGAGCACTGTGTTTGCATGCAGGAAACATGCGGTATATTTTTAAAGAATCGTTACTTGAGTTATCTGATAAACTTTGATGCAAATGGCGATTCTGACTCAAGAACGAAGCCCCATAACTCCAGTGTGGTCATGGGACCAAGTGCCGGGGCGGCAGCAGCAGCAGGGGCATCACCTGGGAGCGTGTCAGAAATGCAGACCCTCAGTTTCACCCCAGGTCTGCTGGAGCTGTACCTACATGTTGATAACACCCTGGGTGATTCCCACATCTCGTCTGAAAGCACAGCTCTAGGTCAGGCCTGGTGCCCTTGACCCACTGGTGGAGAAACAGAGCCCCGGAAAGGGGTACCTGGCAAACTGTTGATCGGGGGCCTGGGCTCTGGAGCCAGACAACTTGGACTGCAGGCCTGGCAGGTGGCTGTCCCTCTGAGCTCCACATAGTGGGGATGACATAAGCACTGCCCTCTCCATGTTGCTTCTCGGCAGGGGAGAGGATGCTTCAGTTTTAGCAAGGGAACAGCCTGGGAAGAGCAGCTGGCGCATCTCCCTCCCCTACTCAGACCCTATAGTAATAGGGGCTTCCAAAGGGGCCCATGGACCTGTAAGCCAATTCTTTCCCCTTCCGTGCCCTCCAGCCCTCTTCTGGTAAGGAGAGAAGCAATACCTTTGTTTGTGTGTTGCTTTCGTAGACGTTTACCTTTCCTGCTTTTGTTTGATTCTTACAGCAACCTTGTTAGGTAGGCATTATTGTCCCCATGACACTAGAGGGAAGTGACTTACCCCAGCTCACACAGCAAGCATGTGGCAGAACCAGAAGTGCAACCCAGGTCTGCCCAACTTCTTAACCTGTGGTAGCTGCTAGGTTTTCAGCGGTAAATTAGTCAGACTCAAATGGGCTAAAGCAGAAAAGGGGATTTGTTGGGTTTTTTTACGAATGAAAAATGTGAGATGTGGGAGTGGCTTAGGTATGGCTGAATCCAGGACTCAGATTATCTCATCAAGATCTTCTCCATCTGTTTCCCAGCTCTGTGCTCTCTGTGCTGACTTTACTCTCAGGTTGGTCCCCAACTATGGGGTCAGAGTGATTAGCTCTGGCTTACTGATTTCAGCAGAAAGAGAGTGTTTCCTGGTAATTAGAGCAGAAGTCTCAGGGCAGATTCTCATTGGCCAGGGTGATGGAACATCCTGATTAACAAGGCTTAGCTCACACATGTATTCCCTGGGGTTGTGAAGAAATGGAGTCAGAGAGTTAGGGGAGCTGAGGGTCCCCTCAGGAAAACAGGATGCTGTGGGCAACAGGAGCCTAGATTCTGGATAGGCAGCACCAAGAGAAGGCCACCCTACCCTCCCTACCCTGGGTTCCACCTGGCTCCTCCCACTCCCAGTCCCTATTCCATGGACTTCTCTGCACAAGAGGCCTCTCAGCTTCCTGGTGACTGCTGAGTGCTTGACCTGGGACTGCCTGATATTCTGTCCTAGGCCAGAACTGGTGTTGGGCTGATGGGGGTGGAGGAGTCTGTAGAATCTCCCTCCTTCCTGTGGGTCACAGATGTTCTCAACTCAAAGTCACTTACTGGTTATTATTTCATGCCATCAGAAGGTATGCAGGAGGCGTCACGCCTTCTTCCATCTGTAAGCTCCCCAAGGCTCAGCAGGGTGGTGTCACCCTCACAGGCATGCAGGATGGCACAGTTCCAGACATTACACCCTCCATAGCCACACATGTGTGCAGGTTCACATGCCCTTGCCTCACCCAGCCACTGGCCAGGAGCAGACGAGCCACTCTTCTTGACTTTGACCAGAGCCACTCTGCAGGGCACTGTTGGCTGCAGGAAGGATGGTTATTCATTTGGTGGACTGTCCCACACATCGTTAGATGTTTGGCAGCTCTGGACTCTGTACGTGAAAAATCCACAGTCCCCCATCCCCAGTGGTCATTGTATCCAGCTAGATTACTGCTCCATGTCAGCCTCATCCCAGCGACCAGTAGCTTAAATTAATTGAAGTTCAGCTTCTGGTGCTGGAGAGGGACTCCTGCCCTGAACTCAGGCCTTCTGAAGGGATCCTGTACAAAATACCAGCTTGTTAGCAAGGGAGAAGGGGATGGTTTCTGGTGGGGATGCCATCTACAGGTCAACCTCAGTTGCAAAGTATACAGTGGCTCAGGCTAGAAACTGCAGCATCAGCCTTCCGTGGCCTTCTTCAACCCTGTGCTTGATCCATTAATGTGTCTTGTTGGCTGACCTTCCCAAAAATCTCCCCAATTTCTCTGCTCCACCTGAACTGCACTAGTGCCACCCTATCTTCTCTTGCCTGGACTGGCAGCTCTTCATGGCCTCTTGGTCCCACTCTTCCCCTGCTCAGTCCATTCTCCCTGCCAGCCAGTGGACTCCATCTCCTCCTAACATGTTCTGGTTTACACTTAGAGTGAAGTCACATTGCATGTGGGCAGACTGTCCTGTTTGACCTGACCCTGCCAATCTTTCTGATACCATCTCCAGATACCCTGACCTGCTTTTTGCCCTTTGGCTAGGCCACGCCTGTTTCTACATCTGCATCTTTGTACTCACTGTTCTCTCCCTGGAATGTTTTTTGTCCAGATTTAACCAAGGATGGCTCCTTCTCATTTTAGATCTCAGCTCAAATGTTACCTTGTCTGACCACCCACTCTAAAGCAGTACTGCTTTACATTCATTGGGATTGAAATAAATATAAGGCCAAGATAGTAAGATTATTCCTATCTGTTGCATGACAGCCTGTGTACACACTGCCCAGGACATGTGTGGAGGCCCCTTGGGGTTGGGGACCCAGGCGACTTCGTACTGCTCAGGTATCCTCAACACGGGGTTTCCGTCTTGTGGTCTGAGATGGCTGCTCTTGTTCCCATCATTATCTCATATTCCTGCCAATGAGAAGGGAGAAGAGCACGACCTGAAACAGGCAAGCTTCTCTTTGCTCATATCCAGTTGGATAAAGCTTGACCACATGACCATACCCAGGTGCAAGGAAGCTGGGAAATATCCATTGCACTGGGAAGCTATGTGCAAGCTAAACTTCTGGGTTGTGCTACTAAAGGGAAGGGTCAGTGTTGGGCAGTCTCTACTGTGTTTCTTATCATTCCATTCCACCCTGTTTCTTCTTAGCACTTATCTCTAGAAGTGTGCTTTTTAAATACGGGTTATCGTGCTTGCTGTTGATCTCCCCTTCCTGTGAGGGCAAGCCTTGCCCACCCTGTTTCCTGCTGTGTCCCAGCATCTAAATTTGGGCCTAGTGCTCAGCAGGTGCACTTGCTAGGGTCTGCTGGTGAGCAAGAGAATGCACGCGTGCAGGGTGGGTTTCTTGGCCCACCTCCTCCATCAGTGTGGAACAGGGAAGGAGTCACCTTCTTTCTTAGGATCTGCTGTGTGCCAGGCATTCATTTTCCTCTCTATATTCCCTGTCACCCTGCAGGCTGCTGTTATATCTTCGTCTTTTAGGTGAAACTGTGATTCTAGAGCCTGTCAGTTGCCCACAGAGAGAAGGGTGGAGTGACCTGAGTTTTCAGCCCCCTTCCTCGAGTTCTTCTCTCCCCTTCATACAGAGGCAGCACCAGCATTCAATGACTTGGACAAGTGGTGGGGATGGCCCTAAATTCCCCCGCTTTTTCTCAGGCTTGCTGCTGCTCAGAGGTGGTGTTGGTGACAGCCCAGGCAGGGTCTCCTGTTGCTTTGCTGCAGACAGACCTTGGCTCCGGGCTGCTCCTTGCTGAGGGGAGACTTGGACATGTCACCAGGAGGCACCTGTTTTACTTTGTAAACGTTATCCAGACCAGAGGTATGCAGCTCCATGAGTTACCATGCAGGGAACGTGTGCATGTACCTGGCACCCGGGTCAAGCCCCCAGAAGCTGGCATGCCTCCAGTGGCCACGCCCTCCATCCTGCAGAGGCAACCCTTGTGCTTGTTTCTACACGGGTCACACGCACGTCGGCTCTCCTGTGTGACTTCGCTCCACGTCATGCCCGTGCAGTTCATGCACGTTGCCTATAGCAGCAGTTCATTCTTTCTACTGTGGTGTGGGATCCACTGCAGGGACCTGCCACCATTCATGCACATTTTCTGCTGTTGGGAGGTGTCTGGGCAGCTCCCAGCCCGTGGCAGTTGTGAATGGCCTATTCTAAATATTGGCACCTGTCAAGTCCTGGTGCCCGGGGCCACACGTGGCTCACCCTGAACTCCCTGCAAGAGTCCTCTCTCGGGAGTCCATGTCTCAGTTTTCCAGCCACACCATCAGCTCCCCCACCCCATTGTGGTCCCTGGCACTCCACACAACCAGCTCTTTTGTCTTCCAGGCCAAACTCTTTATTTTTTTTAAGTTGGAGTCTCACTCTGTTGCCCAGGCTAGAGTGCAGTGGCACACTCATGGCCACTGCAGCCTTGACCTGCTAGATTCAGGTGAGCCTTCTATCTCAGGCTTCTAAGTAGCTGGAACTACAGGAGCATGCCACCACACCTGGCTGATTTTTTAAAAAATTATTGTAGAGATGAGGTCTCACCAAGTTTCCCAGGCTGGTCTCAAACCCACGGGCTATGACAATCCTCTCACCTCAGCCTTCCAAAGTGCTGGGATTATAGGTGTGAGCCACCGCATCCAGCCCAGGCCAGAATCTTGCTCTCTCCTGCTCAGATCATCATGATCATCATGAGGACACCTGGCCAGGGCCCACCTTGTCTCTGTCTTCATCCCTGCAGACTCAGTTCCCTCTGGCCCCTCCACAGTGCCCCTTTTCCCCCTGCCTGTCTCCACTTGGAAACCTCCTGTGTGTGTCCCAGGCACATCTCAATGCCCCATCCATTTGTGTCCGCCTTTCCAGGGCAGAGCAGAGGAAGACATGGGCTTGAGGGTCCAGCTGAGGAGTGCACACACCTAGCTCTGGTGCCTAGCAGCTGTGTGGCCTTGGTGCCAGATGTGAGTTGGGTAGCCTAAGTAAGTTCTACGTGGTGTGGCAGGTTGGGACGTAACTGGCCGCTCCCAAGAACTTCCCACAGGCATGCCACAACCTCACGGTTGTTACCCCCATCCCAGGGGGTAAACTGAGGCACAGAGAGGACAAGAAAGTAAGGGGCAGGGCTGCATCGAAACCCAGAGCCTGTGGCCTTAAGCACCCTGCTCGCTGCCTCCCTATCCTTGGGCCCCTCAGGACTGAAAGGACTCTGGGGATGCCAGGTCCGTTGTATGGCCATGCCTGGCACACAGAGATGCTCAGCTGATGGGGGCATTTGTTACCATTTAGGGGTCATGAGACAGAGGCTGATGAGGGACAGGGCCCTGCCTGGGACTTGGCTCGTGACCTGTGCAGAGGCCTCACCTCCTCGTCCCCCCACACGCCTGGGGTGAGCGGCCCGGTGGGGAGCGTGGGCCCCTGTACGCTCCATGCGACCCCTCGCATCTTGCCCTGGAAGCCTGAGACCCAGAGGAGGAGGGTGGTGGCCCAGGCCACACAGCCCCTCTGCTGCTCATTGAGGTGGCTCTCACTCCCCCAGGGTTGGCTGCTGGCAGGATGGACACCCTGGAGGAGGTGATCTGGACCAATGGGAGCACAGTGTTGCCCCCACCCCTGGCGCCAAACATCAGTGTGCCTCATCGCTGTCTGCTGCTGCTCTACGAGGACATTGGCACCTCGAGGTGAGGCCCTCACGATCCCAATGGGCGGTCCGTCGGGGGTGGGGGGGTGAGCTGCGTGTCGGAGGCGGGTGCATACACAGCCCCCCCAGCGAGCCAGCCTCTGTGCCCGTCTCCAGGGTCCGGTACTGGGACCTCTTGCTGCTCATCCCTAACGTGCTGTTCTTCATCTTCCTGCTCTGGAAGCTTCCGTTTGCTCGGGCCAAGATTCGCATCACCTCCAGCCCCATTTTTATCACCTTCTACATCCTGGTGAGTTCACTCCAACTGATGACAGAACACCCAACTCCAATGGTCTTAGGCCAAAAAAAAAAAAAAAAAGGGAATTAACTGCCTCTGTAATGAAAACAAACTTCAGATCCAGGCAATTAAATGATGTCATGAGGACTCTGTCCCTGCGTCTCTGCTCTGTTTCGGGCCTTATCTCAGAAGAGTTCTCCCCATATGGTGTTATAGATGGCCAACATCCTGCCTCTACCAACTGAGGCAGAGAATACCTCTTTCGTGATGGTGCCAGTGCAGACCTGGGATTTCCTCTGACTGGCCCACCTTGAGTCCTGTCCCCAGTCACTGAGGCTAGCAAGGAAAGGGGTACTTTGGAGCTGGAAGAGCAAGATCAGCTCAGCCAGGCCACATGGACTGAGGGAGGAGGGTGGTCCCAAAAAGAATATTGGGGAGCTGGTACTAGAGTGAAGGGAACGGATGCTGGGTGGGGAAAAATGTCCCCTGTAGCCTCTTTCCATCCACCCATCCGTCCATCCGCCCTTCCATTCTGTGAGACTCTTTGGAGCAGACTTCTTACTTGATAGGAGAGTCTGCATTCTTGCCGCTTGGTGGTCCTGGTGCATGTTGCTTGGGGAGAAGTGTCAGGGCTGTGGTTGAGAAGATGGTTCCAGGTGTGGGCTGTCCAGCTCACCGCCTCAGAGCCGCTTTCCCTGCTTGGAGGAGTCAGCCTGATGACCTGAAGTCCTCCCCTCTCTGTGGCTCTTAGCTACCACCAGCTGAGAGCAGAGTGGCTTCCTGGTCTCCTCTTTGTGGTCTGGCTCAGAGCATCCAGGTAAAGGAGTGGGCGGAGCGGGGGACAGGCAGAGAGGCAGGTGGGGGCCCAGGGAACCCTGGAGACTGTGGAGTCTGCAGGGGCCGCTGGCTGACTGGGGCCCCCTCCCCTGTGAGATGGTGGTGGGCAGGGGTGGGAGCTAAGTCCTGCTTTTTTCTCTGTCTCTCTAGCTGCCTCTCTGACCATTTACTTATTTATGTATTTATTCAACAGATATTAAGCCCCCATTTAATGCCAGATAGATGTCCTTTCTAGGGGAGTGGGCAGGAAGAAAGGGCCAGGGCTGATGCCCAGGAACTTACGTAGTACCTCAGTTTGCTTACTTTTGGAAACTTTATCCTAAAGAGTTCAGGAAGCAGTGATAAGAGTGGACTCCCAGCCATGCTGCTGTGTGACCTTGGGCCACTGGCTTGGCTTCTCTGTGTCTCGGTGCTCTCCTCTGTAATATGTGTTGGATGTGCTTTAATCTGTGACATTCTTGTGAACACCAAATGAGACAGCCTGCATAGCTCCAGCCCAGAGAGAGGCCCAGCCTGCTCTCTGCCTCAGAATTGAAAGGACTCTAGGGGTGCCGGATCTGTCATATTGCCATGCCTGGCACACAGAGACGCTCAGCTGATGGGGGCATTTGTTACCATTTGGGGGTCATGAGACAGAGGCTGAGGTGAGGATGGGGCCCTACCTGGAGGTTGACCTGTGCAGAGCCCACACCTCCCCTTCCCCCTGCCAGCCTTGGGTGAGCTGCCGGGTGGAAAGCATGGGATACAATAGGCATTTGGCAGTTTGCTGCTTTTGCAGCCTGCCCTGCTGACACAATGTTTGTGGCAGGAAAGACAGGACATATGTATCTGGACTCTTTGGCTTGTATGTGGCAGAAAACTCAGCTCAAACTCACGGGAGCCAGAGGAAACATACTGACCAAGAAACTGAGGTCTCAGGGCTTCAGGCACAGATGGATCCAGGGGCTTACCGATGCTTTTGAGGCATCATCTCCATCTCCCACCTTGGGTTTTCCCAGGTGGCCCTGTTCACCAGCACTCTTTATTCGTATGGCACCAGGCTTGTGTACCCTCCCCTGCCTTTCTTGTTCTGGGTCTGACTTTCATCAGGCACGCTTGGGTCCCAGGCCCATCCCTGAGCCAGCCCTGAGCCCAGGGAATGACATACGCCCTGGGTACCAGGCCCATCTCTGAAGCCAGGAGTGGTGGGCTCAGCCTCACCTGGAACCACATGAAGGAGAAGTGAGGAGGGGAGAGGGGGATGGACGCCAGGCTGACAAGTGCCACAGGTGCTGAGCTGGCACTTTTGTGAAACCTGCTAGGCTGGCAGCTTTACCCAAAGGTCTCTGCAACCTCTTCCCTGTGGCCTTCTTCTCCCAGTTCCCCACGTCCTGGAATTAAAGCCGTGAATCTGATCATACTAATAGCAAGTGTGTACTCAGCCCTTCCTGGGTACAATTGACCGTCCCAAAACTCAAATGCAATAGGTGCTGTTTTTAACCTCACTTTATGGATGAGGAAACTGAGGCACAGAGCTGGGGAGCAGCAGAGCAGGGACCTGGAATCAGCATGTATGGCTCCCCTCTGCCCATCCCTACTAACCATTCCAAGGCTCTGGGTGCTGGCCAGGAAACTGGGGCCCCGCCTCTCAGATCCAGCTCCTGCAAGCCTTGTCTCCCCTCCTGGAGCCTGCCCCTCACTGCCCTGTGTCTTGCCCTGGGCTTGCTGTCCCTGCCGGTGCCTGACTCTGTCCGTCACTCCCTCCCTCGTCTGCCAGGTGTTCGTGGTAGCGCTGGTGGGCATCGCCCGGGCCGTGGTGTCCATGACGGTGAGCACCTCGGACGCTGCTACTGTTGCTGATAAGGTGTGGCTGGGCCCGCTGAGAGGGAGGCCGGGCGTGCGGGTGGGGGTGCTGGCCCCAGGCTGATGTTCTGCCCACTCTGTGTCCAGATCCTGTGGGAGATCACCCGCTTTTTCCTGCTGGCCATCGAGCTGAGCGTGATCATCCTGGGCCTGGCCTTCGGTGCGTGTGCTGCTGGGGTCTCAGGCCTGGGCCCACACTCTCCCTGCCCCTCCCCGGCTGCGGGCCAGCCCTGACACGGTCACCGGGGCTGGCACCTGCTGACTGACCAGCACGTTTCTTCCAGGTCACCTGGAGAGCAAATCAAGCATCAAGCGGGTGCTGGCGATCACCACAGTGCTGTCCCTAGCCTACTCTGTCACCCAGGTAAGAGGGTGGGCGGGGGTGGGAGGCGCTGGAGGCAGGATGGGCTGGACATCCACTGCTTCTGGTCCCCGGTCCGTGTTCTCGAAGGCTAAATGCATCTGAGCAGCCACCTGGGGTGCGTGTTCTTGACCTGCTCTGAAATTCAGAGCCAGGGGAGTGAGAGGCTCAGACCCCGCTGCTGACAAATGCTCCCCAGTGAGGGAGAAGGCAGGTCAGCAGACAACCTGAGAGCCGTGCAACTGGAGGCCCCTTTCTTGGGTTGGGGGCAAGGGCCGCATGTTACCTCTCTCTGCCCCTGCCCCCCATGACTTAGCTTAAGACTGTGCCCGTTGTGGGTGCTGGTGCTAGGTGAGCAGAATGTGGCTAGAACACAGGTGGGCAGGTGGCGAGGGTCGGGCCAAGGCTGCGCGTGGTGTGGTGGAGAGCTTAGGGGGCTTTACATCAGGGAAGCCCCTGGAGGGGCCTGTCCGGGTGGTAGAAGCCTGTGAGACCCCTCCCTTCCCACCTGCTCTTACAGGGGACCCTGGAGATCCTGTACCCCGATGCCCACCTCTCGGCCGAGGACTTCAACATCTACGGGCACGGCGGCCGCCAGTTCTGGCTGGTCAGCTCCTGCTTCTTCTTCCTGGTGAGGGGCAGGCCGGGGCATCCCCGGGGGCCAGGCAAGGGACTGGTGCCTAGGTCTGGGGTCAGGCTTGGCCTGGGGCCCCAGCACCCTTCTCAGCCGCGCCCTGTCTCCGTAGGTCTACTCTCTGGTGGTCGTGCTCCCCAAGACGCCGCTGAAGGAGCGCATCTCCCTGCCTTGTGAGCGGCTGGCGGCAGCTCTGGCAGGCTCGGGGCAGGGTGGGCCCCCCTGGGCTGCTGCGGCCGGAACGGAGAGCCTGGCGGGAGGGAGTCCTCCCGGGGCCCCCCGAGTCCCAGGGCTGGGGGGGGCGGGAGGAGAGCCTGGCCGGGCAGGACTCACGCCCGCTCCCCGCACCCAGCGCGCAGGAGCTTCTACGTGTACGCCGGCATCCTGGCGCTGCTCAACCTGCTGCAGGGGCTGGGGAGCGCGCTGCTGTGCTTCGACATCATCGAGGGGCTCTGGTACGCGGGCGGCCGGGCGAGGGCCGA